TTTTTATCAATAATATTTTTTTATTCTACATCTTCTTAATATATTTAAATTTTGAATAGGGACCTCTGACGGGAATTTGACCGACGGGGGATTGCTGCTCCTGTATTATTGTTTAATAATACTTTGAAGTGGATTTTGACACATAAAAGTAGTGCGATTTTGTGTTATAAATGTCTGCTCATGTGAACTATCAGTGGAAACGGTAAAACAAGTGCTCCAATGGCGATGTGAATGTTTCTGACTGCTTAAACGCCTTGAGATATTATCGCGAATTTTCTGTTGACTCAAGTGCCGTCAAACTCTCCCAAGTGCTGCGCAATGTGACGCTTCAACATATTGTGAAGTCACATCATTAAAACTCAGTATCAAGTGATAATAATTATTTATAGTACACCGTACTAAATAAATGAAGACATGACTTAAATGAAAATCATCCAAGTCATAAATCTTAATTTAAAAAAAAAACATATTTAAAATACAACTTTAAAAAAATATATTAATGATTTCTTATATTTACGCGAACATTACAAATTGAATAAAACTACTTTTACGGATTCTATCGAATTTAATTAACCTATTGCATGCCGAGCGCAAAGCGTATAGGTATGTTATACTAGCGCCTAAAAATCAAGATTCCAACGTTTTGTCGCATGAAATCGTATCCAGCAATCATATTATACATATAAATGATATAAAAAGCACATTGTTAGAAAGATAAATGATTGGTGAACTCATTTTTTTTTTAAATCGATTAATTGCTATTTTTAAATAAAAAAAGGGGTTTTAGTGGCTTATGGTGTGGATTTATTAAGTACTCAAGGCTTGTAAACACGATACCTTTTGAAAATATCAATTGTTTAACTCAATCTATTTTTTAATCTCTTCATCTATCATGTGGGAAACCACTGAATGTAAATGGCAGTGTAATTTTGTTTTGTTAAGGTATAATTAATTTTTTTCGACTCCAAAATGGCGAAATTCTCGGTGATTTCGTAGCGTTGTGTTAGAATTTATTTCAGTAAACAGAGACTGCCTGTGCCTCGCTCACTTGCTGGCTTAGTTCGGCGCACAGAGTACTTTTTATATACTGAAAGTTCGGCGTCAACCGCCGTTGTGAGTGGATACTGTATTGGTTGTTTGCAGCGGCTCAAAAAAATCGCTGTACAAATAAATACAAAATATTCGGAAAACAAATTTCATACATACTTGATTATTATAATAATCAGAGATTTTTATTACAATATTTTAAAAGCACAGAATAAATAATAGTAGTACATACTAAAAGTAAGTAGGATGTAATATTTATACTTGAATACGTCTTGGACTTTTTGGAGTAACATGAATGATGATATGATGATCATATGAGCATTATGAGTCGTGCACTTTGGATTTTCCAAACTTTTTCAAATTGAAGTTTGACATAAAATTATCGGAAAATTGGAAGTATAATAAGGTTTAAGGTTTTAATACGTGGTAGAGCCATGCTGCAGCTATAACTTGTAGCACGAATGGGTAGGCTCGACCGGGGAAGCACCACGCTCTCACAGAATACCAGCGTAAAATAGCAGCTTAATGCTGCTGTGTTTTGTATGGTGAGTGTAGAGAACCGGAGACCCTTTTTACTGGAAAAGAGACATTCCGTCTTAGTCCTCACGAGTGACAACGCATCTGCATTTTGATTCTTTATTGAGGATAAATGTAGATGTCTATATGGGCCACAGCAATCACTTACCATTAAGTGGACTGTGTGTTGGTTTGTCACTCGATCCTATATAAAAAAGGTTATTAGTGAAAATTTGTGTGCATTTAAACTACTTTAAAAAAATTCCGTATAATCATGCTATACGTAATTTTTTTAATGCGAAGGCATGCTCAGTTTGTTTTACCAATAGTTTTTTATTAATTCCCGTCGTTTCAGGTGCTTTACAACACCCATGGTCACGGGGTCTGAGGTGATTGACGTCCCGATGTCAGAGTTAAACCGGAGTAGCTTCAGCGTTTTTAATTATTAATTTTGGTGCGGTCTACGCAGAATGAACTTACTATGTCTTGAAGTCTTGCAGTGGTATGCTTTTATTAATTACGGGATCCCAAGCAGGTGGTAGAACCCAGGCTCCTTCTCTATTAAAATTAGGATGTTCTTTTAATTTCAAATACTCTCACGTATCATCCTTGGCAGGAATCGATTTACTTTCGCGAGAACTTGTAGTTTATCAAATCTGATGTAATGGCGGGGGCCATCTATGATCACAAACTGCAGACTTCCCGGAACATTGGTGTTCCACGTCAGCTATGTGTTCTTTTATTCGGGTTTTGATATATCGTTTTGTTTACCCTATATATGAGAGGCCACATTCACAATCAAGCTTGTACACTCCTGCATCTTGTAGAGGAATATTACACTTGACGAATGGTAAGAACTGACTAGTCTTCTTCGTCGGCTTGAAGAATGTTCTAATAGAAGTTCTGAAGAAGAAGCATCAAGATGTAGCCAATCTTGTCTGTAACACCTCTGGCATATGGTAGTATAGCAGGTACACGCTCAACTTTGACTGGATTCACTCGGTCACTATGACGTAGGCACGGGACCCGAAGCTTGTTGTCGTGCAGAAGTTGCTTGACGTGCTGAAGCTCGGTGGCAAGGTGTTTGCTGTCGAAGATCCCTCGTGCTCTGTGTAACAAACAATTGCCCACGGTAGCTAATTGTTAAGGATGATGGCTGGATTCACCGTTTAAATATCGGTTCGTATGGGAATTTTTTCTATACACAGTGTGACCTATGGTGTTATTACGATTTCGAATGACTAACACATCTAGGAAAGCTAAGGAATTATTTGCCTCTAACTCCATAGTACATTGAATTTTAAAGTTTATGGAATTAAGATGTTCTAAAAATGCAGTTACTTTGTCTAATGGTAAACTATGAAAGTGTCATCTACGTACCGCTTGTAGAACCTTGGAGTTACAGGGGCAATAAGCAGGACTTTATCCTCAAAGTCATCCATTAAAATATCGGCAACAATGGGAGATACTGGTGAGCCCCTCGCAACACCATCTACTTGCTTGCAAAACTCTTCCTTCCACAATAGATAGCAAAATGTTAGGCAATGTCCAAGTTATACTGCATATTCTGCTGGCATGTTGTTTTTCTCTAGTTTCCTAGTTACAATTGAGATGCAGTCGTCAACAGGTAGGCATGTAAATAGAGACTGAATATCAAAACTGACCAGTGTCATTGTTAGTAAGACATAGGTCTTTTATCTCACTTACAAAATGGTATGAATCCTTAGGGTTAGGTTTTATAACTGGTATAATAATAATTAAAATAAATGTTGTGAAACTAGTCCAAGTTCTTTCTTTCTTTCTTTACGTGGTAGAGCCATGCTGCAGCTATATTAGTAGTATAGTTGTAGCACGAATTGGTCGGCTCGACTGAGGAAGGACCACGCTCTCACAGAATACCAGCGTCAAATAGCAGCTAAACACTGCTATGTTTCGTATGGTTATTGCAGAGAACCGGAGACCCTTTTTACTGGAAAAGAGGCATTCCATCTTAGTCCTCACGGGTGACAACGCATTTGCATTTTGATTCGTAAACGAGGATAAATGTAGATGTCTATGAGCCACAGCAACCACTTACAATCAGGTGGACTGTGTGCTCGTTTGTCACCCTATTCTAAAAAAAAAGTGTTTATCAAGTCACAAAAATAAGGCTGAATTTTCAACAAGTGACAACTATCACAAATATAAAATATAATTTAAAAAAAAATCACCTCGAAACTATATCGTATTTTCCAGCTTACGCAAAATTAAAACACAAAGTCAATATAGCAAAAGATATTTTCGTGGCCACCTTGCCCTAGTTCTATAATACTAATAGTCCACTCATTCCTATGATATGATGGATTTTGATAACGATCAGTTTTATCTTGCTGCATATCGGTAAGCTTCGGTAAACGATAAATAAGAATTAAATTAATAAACATATCAACCGATAAAGTTAAAATTGCAGCCTATATACGTCCTATTCCAGATTAGAAATCTGAAAACGTTAAAATTTCGGGAATATAATGTCACCCTGTCTTACACCTCTTGCAGTTGGATAGGATTCGTAGTCTGATTCTGTGCTCACATTGCCATCGTAGCCCTACTGTACAAACATTCCAACACTTCATTACACCGACAGTCAACCTGTCACTGTTTAAGGAACTGGAGCATCGCCCAAATTTAGATGGAACTAAGGCTTTCTCATAGTCTACAAAGTGACAGATTTTATTTTTCTGTCTTCTGTATAATATGCTGAAGTATATGTATGTGATCTTTGATACTGAAGTGTTTTCGGACCCTGATTTATTCTGGTTCGAGGCTTTACAAAATGACTGTAGATGCAGCTCAGAAGGGATATAGGTTCTGTAGCTCTTCAATGTAATGCAGTTTGTAAGGTCCTGTAGCGCAACTTAAAACTGCAATTAACAATTTCAATAGCACCGGTAGCAATAAAACCACAGAATACATAATAGTATAAGAAATAAAACTAAAGTTTAGGTGAGCCTATTGTCTATTGCACACACATTAAAAAAAAATTAAGGTTACGTAGTTACACAACAAGGAACTCTTTATTTAAACAAGTCCGTCCGTCCATCCGTCCTAGGTTTTACTCAGATATCCTAGGTGCTACACAGCTGTTATTTGGAATAGTTGTAGATATTATACACGCCTGCAAAAATGCAAAACTTGCCTTCGTTAGCTAAAATCTATACTAGACTTCTAAATGGTTAAGTAATTAAAAAAGTTTTGTAAATTACTAATATAATTTTAAACAAATAATTATTATTTTCGTTTATTTAATTTTATATATATCACACTTTCAGTAGAAGATATTACTAGTCACCTCAGTGATGAATTCACTAAAAAATGTGTTACTTAAGTGCTATAATATTTTAATATTAAAAAATTATAAATAATCATTAATTTCTTCTTGCATATTTTTATAACCAAGGTCAGTTGTTGAACCGGGCTTTATAGTGAATAAGAGAAACCCTCGCTGATGCTGCTATACCATGCCATGTTTCTTCGTTGATCTGGTCGATATATCGCGGGTGCACTGTGAATGCCTGTCCATAGCCTGGCAGTTCTAGGGTGTAGGAGAAGGGAACGCCCACGAGCTAGCAAAGTAAATTTTTAAAATGTTATTTACGTCGAAGTGGCTTCATTTATTGCAATTTTGAATTCTGGACAGGGTACGTTAAACTTTATATTGCGAAAGTAGATGAAGTTCACTCTGTAGAACCGGTACCATTTGAATATAAAATTTATTTCAAAGTCTACCGTATACCGGACAATATGGCGTAGTGTATATTCTTACACCGCCACTGGTGTAAGAATATACACTACCCCATATTATCCAGTGGGCATCCTAAGAGTCCACAGAGGGAAATTTAAATAGGTGATGGGCAGCAGCATATTCCTGAAAATATCCAAAACAATTAGAAAACTGCGTTTGACAACAAACTCACCAAGCGTATCAACTATGGTAAAATACCCCCTATTAGGCAATCTATGGGGAGGCCAATGTTCAGCAGTAGATATTTATAGCCTGTAATGGATCAATGGATACAGCATGTATTTTTCAGATATTGACCTCTTCATTTTATCACATTTAGAATTTTGCAAGAATGATTTAAGAATGTTGTTAGACAATAAATCGTATTAAAAATTTTGCTGAGCTTTTTGCTGAGTATTGTCAATTTAGATCAGAATATTGCCTATTATATTAATTTAATACCTCACAGAATACCAGCGTGAAGTAGAGGTTTACCTCTGCGTTTCGCTTGGGGAGTGCAGGTGGCCGGAGGCCCTTTTTACTGGAAATGAGGCATTCCATCTTAGTCCTCACGGGTGGCAACGCATCTGCATTTTGATTCGCAAACAAGGATAGATGTAGATGTCTATGGGCCGCAGCAACCACTTACCATCAGGTGGACTGTGTGCTCGTTTGTCACCCTTATCCTATAAAAAAAAATTAATAAAACTTTGTTGATAATGTTGCTGCTTACACAGTCATATTTAAGCCTTACAATGTATTTGTTTGTTGTTCTGAATAAAATAAAATAAAAAATAAAACCACCATCACCAGCCCGCGAAAGTACATTGCTGGAAGAATTTGCAGCACCAGATATCACGCACCTTTGACGTTGCTGAACATCACTGGTTTATATGTGGCGTAATTTTTTTATAGAATAAAGTTGATAAACAACCACACCGTCCACCTGATGGTAAGTAGATATGTGGTCCATAGACATCTATATTTATCCTCAATTACAACTTAAAATATGGTTGCGTAGTCAACTTAAAAGACCGAAAAAGACTGGAAATGAGGCATTCCATCTTAGTCCTCACGGGTTACAACGCATCTGCATTTTGATTTGCAAACGAGGATAGATGTAGATGTCTATGGACTGCAGTAACCACTTACTATCAGGTGGACTGTGTGCTCGTTTGTCACCCTTATCCTATAAAAAATATATTTTTAATAAATAATTAAATAATATGACATTATTTTATCCTTTTTTAATAACAATTTCAATGCAGACGCGTTGACACCCTTGAGAATCAAGATGGAATGCCTAGTATCCATTGAAAAGGGTTTTCTAAAAGGTTTTCTACACTCACCATACGAAACACAGCAGTATTGAATTGCTATATGACATCGGTATTCTGTGGGAGCGTGGTCCTACCCCGGTCAAGCTGACCGAAAAAATAGTCGTCAATTTAATAATAAACCATACTAGTAAACCCCTATGAGAAAACAGGTGGATTTTTTTTAATTTAAATTGCTTTAATAAATAGAATCAACGATAAGCCACCGCAGAGTCTACATCACCTGAAGATGCCTCGTGTAGAGGCGAAAGACGTGTCGTATTGTTGTCAGTGGTGTGTCTTCCCTAGTGTCGTGGTGTTGGAATAGTGGTGCTGGGATTAGTGGTGACGGGGATAGTGCACGTAATTGAGGGAGAGCTGGAGGTCTTTTCAAATTAGGTAAGACACATCATTTTATTTTTTCGAGCGGATGTACGCAAGGTAATTTTTACCAACTTTAATTTAACTTACTTGTCCATAATCCTGAGCACTTCCAGAAGATACATACAGAACCAAAGCACTGTTCCCAACCATATAGTATCGCGCTTCAGGTAACTTGAGAGCATCAATTGCAGCTCCCATCACAGCTCCCACATAGTGCACATGTAATACATTTAGCGGGAGACTAGTATCTCCATAGCCAAACAGTATGTAATTCCCATGACTGTGGATATCGACATATAATTGTATGCGTTCCACGTATTCGAGCAACACATCTCTAATATATCCAGTTTCTACTTCTGAGAATGGGACATGACCGGGGTAAACGTTAGAACAGGGATCGGAGGAAACGCCGAGGGTATTGTGAGACACGTTGAAGTTGCGATTGGCGTCGACACCGTAGCAAGTTGTGCTGACGGATGGATTGAAGGAGCGCGTGCGTCGCCATAAACGTTCCTAAAAAGACTATATTTATGCAAATAAAGTGTTAAATATAATAGAAGCAAATTCTAACTTTAAATTAATCAAAAAAGAAGCAGTAGATTTAAAAAAAAAAGCAGTAGATTCTGCATCAATGCTTATTAGACGGACAACAGACATAAATATCATTTTTCGTTCATAATCATTACAGACTTTTACAAATCCGCTGCTAAACATAAAGCTCCCATCGATTTCCTGCATGTCTTATCAGGTTGTTACTCCATCCAATAGAGGAGGCGTCCTACACTTCCCTTACCAGTACGAGACTACCAGTGGAAAAGCTATTTAATGATTTTTTATTAAATATTCAATAGCTTCGAGGATGACTTTATTTGAATTTGAAATAGAAACCTTTAGGGATTAAAAAATAGGAGATAAAGTTATTAATGTAACTAAAACAACGTTCTACTTGTCACGTTGAGCTTATGTTTCTATTTATTCCACCTCACATTGAGATTCTGTTAGACATAAGTTCACTCAAAACGGGTAATTTGTGGAATTTAAAAGAAAATCTTTCAAAATATTGAAGGAATACGATAATTTTCACAGAAATGGTTATAAAAAAAGTATCGAAGAATTAAAGATCTGAATTCAGAGGTTATTAAATTACATTGCTATTATTTTTTTGAAGTGGTTTTCTTATTATATTTTAAATTAAATTATTTTGATATCCTGTGTGCTGTGTGTGTGTTTTGAGTTGTTTGCAGATAGATTATAATCTAATAATAATTTTACAGGCAGTATAAATATAAGAAAACTTGAAAAAATTTTGTAACTTACATGTGTATGTGAATATTCATAGCCGTCAGGGTTAGCCAGCGGCATAATAATCCAGTCAATATTATCCAGTAAATCTCGATCTTGGGACCGTATCTCCTCTACCAGCCTGTGTATGGAATAAAGCGCAACTGGTGTGGTTACCCACTCACGGGCGTGCAGCATTGCGTTCATGAAGTATATCGGTTTCGAGACATCCGTGAAATTTGTTGTAGAGATCTGGGAAATAAATTAAAAGGCTTTGCAAATGAACAAATTTATTTTAGAATTTTTTCTAAAATGGAAATAATCAAGGTTAGCATCCATCGACTTAATACATATCTTATCACATCACTTCGCTTACCGATACGAGGTTGCCACTCGAGGATATTACTTCCTCGTCGGTTGTCGGTTCCTTGAGCTATATAGCCGGCTCATTGCTGCTTCATATGCAGTTTTTATTTAGGGATTTTCGTTTCTAGATTTTAACAATTTAACAAACTTAAAACCTATACATTTACCATTAATCTGCATACACGCAATGGGAAAATAGCTATGGAGTTAATCAGACAGTCCGATAAAAATCAGTAATAACTTCTAACATTTACGCGATCATTATACATTGAATGAAACCAGTTTTTTTTTTTAAGATTGTATCGCGTTTAATTAACGAACTTTATTTTCCGATGCTTCGAATACTTTGCAGCAGTCATGGTCACGAGTGGACTTAAGTGGTTGATGTCCCAATATTATAATTAACCACAGCTACCTCCAATTTAAGCTTGTTTACTTTATGTGGATCTATGCGAAATAACCAAAAACTATCAATTTTTGAAACGATCTACGTAGATCGAATATCATTGTTTCTGATGGATGCCAGTATAATCATGTTGTTTATCATCATCATCATCATTACAGCCCTTCACAAGTCCACTGCTGAACACAGGCCTCTTGTTTATACTGGACGTAAAATATCCCGACTAACGTTAGGGGGCAGCTTCAAAGTGCAAGAGGTTTGTTGCGTACAAGCGTGGCTATTACGTGTATGACAAATCCATTCTACAATGGATGAAATCCATGTACAGCAGTGGACTTTTGCAGGTGAATGAAGAAGGAGAAAAAAATAGGATTGAAAGTCATGTGTCCTAAGCCTATGTTTCGACTGATGTGTGCGTAACCTTAATTTTTAAATATTGTTCAACTGCATTACCTAAATATCTGAATCAATAATTATATGTAGCTGCATCTTTCTAATAAAAACTAGAAAAGAAAACAAAAACTGCGTTCGCTAACCATAAATCCTTTATGATGCAATCAAGGGGGAGGCCTATGTTCAGCAGTGGACTTTGATAGACTGTAATGAAATTAATGATGAAACATAATATGTACATCTACTTACATCATGTTTTTTTTTTCTTACCTTCAAATATTTAATATCACGTCCTTCAAAACTTGGTCCAGAATTAACTAAGGTGACAATATCAGGATACTGTGATGCTATTCTCTCTAAATACGCATTTACCTGTATAAATTAAGTTGCTTCAGAAATAATTTTAAAGTAATATTTAGAAAAAAAAAAACTTTAAATATTTTGCTTTTCATAAACGTCGAACAAAATCGACATCAAAGAGTTAAAAACATTAAAATAATTTTAACATAATTTAATAGCCTTTGTATTCGGGGCCTCAATTTTTCAATAAACTATAACTTAGTACTTCACTGGGAATCCACGCGCAGACTATTTTTCTTCTGGGCGTGGATGCTCAGGTTGACCCACGTATTCTGCGGGACAGGGGAGGGGCACAACTCCGCTTTGTACACCTTCCATGCGAGGCAAACGGAGCAAAATCCACCATCGTATACTGCAATAGAATTCTAAATTCCATGTTAATCATCTCGATGTCTGGCGCTCCATTACTGTGTGATTTACGCGGAGTTTTCTGTCTCGCACGGCCATCCTGTGGAATTTACTTTCGCCAGGGGTTATTCCGGACCGATACGACTTAGGAACTTTCTAGAAAAGAGTCTACTCTTTTCTAAAAGGCTGACAACGTACCTGCAATTCCATTAGCGTAGCCGATTTTCCGCACTCACTTAATTTTATTTTGTTTTAAAAAAATTCCCAGCGCTGTCTTGTAAACTTGCGCCTCTAGGCATGTATGTCTGGATTGCCTTTAGGATAATCCGCCACTGAAAAAAAAAATAATACTTACCTCTGCGTATCGAGGAAAGTCTTCGAAGGGATGTATCCTCCCTCGTTTACTTCTTCGCCAATAAGAAACTTCTAAATCGTGCTCTTTTAGAGTTCTGAAATTAAAAAAAAAGAATAAATAATTACTGTCAACGTTTGAATGCAATTATCGTAATGCTTCAAAGCAGGCCTTAATGCTGTTAGTAAATCCCATGGAAAAATAAAGAGCACAATGTTAATGCAAATGCTTGGTAGCCTTTGTTTCTTTTCATTCGACGACACTCGACGACGTCGATTCAGCCCCGCAACTAGATTTAGTGTTGTTAGCAGTGCGGCTGCAACTAGTTTTATTGTATACATAGGACCGCGTGAACTTATACTTTGACACAGAGGAACGCCTGCGTATGTTTACATCCCTCTGATCAACTGATGGGCCGTGTTGCTCTATGCCTACATATAACGTTTGAAATCAGTCACTAGTATTGCATGTTCCACATATACACATATGGTATAAACTGCCTAATACATAAATATTTTAAAAGTAAAGTTACAGCGTATTCACGCCCGACCGCTGAGCACAGGTCTCCTCCCATATCTAAAGGTTATGGAGTGATTAATCCGCAGCACTGCAAATTTACATTTTAATGTACTCCATTGACAGCTGATGGAATCTGAAGGGATTTGACTACTACCTGAATGGAAAGTGGGTACATCTGTCAAATTCAAATTTTAATTATTATTGCAACTTGCACTTACAATTTAGGTAACATAATATATACACGTGCGAAAAAGTTCCTACAGTAATTATGTCTGCAACTTGTAATCACAACTGATGATAAGAAAGCTGAAGGATTTTCTCGCTCAAAGGCTAAGTACAGCTATTCAGTGAAGACACGCAGCCAGCGTTCTTGGCACTATACCGCTGTAGGACTGTATGATAGTAAGTTTTTAGTTTTAGATTATTATGGTAATAAATATTGTATATATAAAAAATATTCTAATCAAACTATTAATTAAATTTTAAAAACGTTTTTATATATTATATTTTTTATGATTTCGCACAACTTATTTTAGATTCTGGGGGCTATACCGAAGAATATCTTAAAAAATATCAAATGCTTTTGCCCATTGCCAACAGTGGCCTAATTCAACTGACGTCGTGGATCACTCCTGAAACAAAGCTTTTAGCTTAGTTGGAGTGATGAACTGGAATATTAGTGATGTTAAATATACCGTTACCTAACACAAATTATCAGTTGACATATTGTACGAGTATATTAAAATAAAATTATTACCGAGAAACGTCTTCAAGGTGAAGATAGTGAGAAATGTTTCCAAGATCTAATTGCTTTAAGAATTCGTCTTTTCGTTCCGTTCCCACCATTGCCAAGGCATCCCGCAAAGCTGGTACACCGTGGTCCCATATATCAATGTTTAAAGAATCAACAAGCTTAAATAACAGTTCTTGGTCATTGCGATCGTTGACTTTGATGCCGTGAACTGTGTACCTAAAAATGCAAAAAAAAACATAGATTTTATAATTTTTCTTTCTTATTGTCACAATTGAATTGAAATTATTAGACATACAATTTAATTAAATGTAATTATTTATCGTACGCGTAAGACAAAAAAAATCGTTTGTCAGACATATTTTTTTTTCAAATTTACTACCGTTGCAAAATTAAGTTCCACTGACCGGAGAAGAACCGGGCACTCCAAGCAGCAATAAAATAAGAGTTTTGTATAGTAATTTTAATTTTTGATTTAGAAATTGCTTGGTGGCGATGGAAAATCTGAGGAAACTTACATGTCTAAGAAATTAAAAACATTTATAGAGTAAATATATTCCCTGCACTTATACTTCTTACAGAAATTAATAGCGGATTGAGACCAGTAACTTTTGTGTAGCATTTTTTTTAAATTAACAACAATGGTGAAATATAAAAACTTACCCAGAGTAGACATCGTGCTTACCAGCAGAGGTCACGGCGAGAATCGAACAAGCTGTCGCGAGAATAAGAGTATTGACAACCATTTCTCACAAAACTTCGTTACAGACAGCGAGTGACCTCAGAAGATTTTAGTTGGTATTTTTACAATACTGATTACTTTAATCACATTTATCGATTATCACTCATTTATATCGTGATCTTAATATTTTTGTGTCATTTTTTGAGCTGTACCTTAAAATTGATATTTCAATTATGAATTGATCACGAGGTATAATTTAAGAATAAGAGTGTTGAGCACCTGATAGTAAGTGGATGCTGTGGTCTACAGACATCCACATCTATTCTCGATCAAGCATCAAAATGCTGATGCATTGTCTCCCCTCGGGACTAATATTAAATGCCTCGTTTCCAGTAAATTGTATGTTCAGTTCTCTACACTCACCGTACGAAACAGAGCAACAATAAGCTGTTATTTACACTGGTATTCTGGATATTCCTCGGTCGAGCCTACCTGTTCGTGCTACAACCATAATATAGAGAGCTGCAGCATGGCGTAAAACGTATTTAGCATTATAATTCGCATATACATTAAATCGCATACAATCTCGCAAAATGTATTTGGCGGTTGCAATAGGTAAGTGGATGGTACTACCCGAACAGACATATAGGCTGAAATGGTATCCTATCAGCTAATATATAAATATAAATTTAAGTTACATTTTCTTAAAATCCAAGCTGTGTAGAAAAAGAGAACGTAATTGATGTCGCAATGCAGCCCCGTGTAACCGTGGTGTTAGAGAATCCATTGGTCTCAGACTAACAAAATATAGACGAAGCGTTGCGTACATTTAAAATGATTTTAATAACGCTTATCGAGCGCGTAGTTCACCTATATGAAATTAAGATATTTTATATTAGAATGTAATAGAATAGAATATTTTTTTTTCAATATAGATTACAAGAAAGATTTACCACTGGATCGGGGAAAAACCTCTGTCCTAGGAAAAACAAGCAAGAAATCCAGGGGGATTTTTTTAAACATGGTAAGTGGATGCTGTGGTCTATAGTCATCTACATATATCCTCAGTTAAGAAATATAGGTTTTAAAAAAACGTGAAGCGTTTTAAGTGAAACTCTAATAATAAAAACAAATAATGTTTATTAAAAATATAGCCACAGTTTTTCTCATAACTGTGAGATCAATTTCAAATTAATATAAGGAACATAAAAATCGTAAATATAAATTGGAATTATAAATAATTAACAATGCAGCATAATTTAAACTAATTTACATCTTAAAATTTATGAAATTATATTTTGTTTACCTACTCAGTAGTTTCAGCATTCTTATTGAAGTCTAATTAGTAAACATTATAAAATATCAACATTACTTTTGTAATAACTCCCTCATTGTGTAGTTACTTGTTTCGTATGTTGGGTACTCTGACTCTTTTACTTTTTTACGCTAACCAGAGTATCCAAAGGTATTTTTTTTTGTATTTGAGTAGAGTCATTGCATGTTTATCATTATCGACCTTTTGTGTGGAAGTAATCTTAATTTTTTCATCTTTTGTCTTGAATAAAACTGCTTTCACGGATTTTATTGCGTTTAAGTTAATTGAACGCAATAAAATCCATAAAAGTAGTTTTATTTAATGTGTAGTGTTCTCCTAAATATAAGAGATCATTATTTTCGTGTTGTTTTACTTCTAAAGCCTTGCTGTTATCATATTATGTCACACATCTTACCATTTAAAGGATATATTAATTGACTAAATATTTTTTCTAGTACTGGTTTCTATTCCCCCTCTTCAATTATAATCACCCTAGTTTAAGGCACCTATAATAGCATATATTTTTGCCCATAGTGTGTCAGAAATAAAAACGAGGTTTATCTATCGTGTGTTAAATTACTCGGACGTGTCCATTTACATTAATATTAATCATCGATATGATATCTCGTTTGTTTTATTACATTTATCGTTATTGTTTTGATATTTGAGACATGGCTTAGTGCTCAATTTATATGTCTACTCAGCGATCATTGGCCGCTCTTTTATATAAAAAAAATTGATTTCGCTATGTCTTTGTCTCTGACGGTTCACTTAAGTGTGACTTGCATTTGAATATGGGTATATAATGAAAAATAGTTTTATATCTACTAATGGAAACTTAAATTAGGAACAATACTATCGAATGAAAATTGCAAGAAGGTTAATATAGAAAACGTGAAAGAATGTACAAAAGGAAGTGAGTTTATTTCATTTCAACCTATAGATGAAAGTCCACTACTGGACACAGGCCTCCCTCACATTCGTCTATAGGGTGGATTTGGAACTATTTTTTATTCAATATAGATTATAAATAATACTTATAGTCATGTTTATGTTTAATTTACCACTTGATCCGAAAATACGTCTGTCTTAGGGACAACCATAACCAAGAACCTCGGCAGGATATTGCTTAGTCAATACAATACATTACAATACAATACTCTTTAGTGTACACCAAGAAAATATAAAAACATCAAAATAAAAAATAAACAACTATTGAGGGAAATACAAAGGGCGGTCTTATTGCTACATAGCAATCTCTTCCAGACAACCCAGAAGAAGAAATAAATAAAAATAAGGAAAAAAAATACAATGGGTAGGGTGCACTAAAATAAAAAAATAAATAAAAAAAAAAATAAAAATAAAATAAAGATACAACCTTATGCATTAAAAAGACAACATTCTTCAGGCAGATCAATGACCATAATTAACGGAGGAAATGAGAGGGGTTAGAGAGACAAATAGTATTCTTTAATCTGTTTCTGGAATACATTTAAGGATTGAGCACTTCAAATTGACTGGAGTAAGGAGTTCCAAAGTCTTACTCGAAGAACAGAGAATGAGTTATCATTATAAGTCGAGGAGTGCACAGGACATTGGAGAGTAAGATTTTCTTTGGATCGTAAGGAAAAATTATGACAGGAGCTGACAAATTTAAAACATTATTTTAGATAGGAAGGACTTGATATATTAAATAAGACGCCGTAGAGAGCAGAAAGTATATGAGTATTCCGACGAAGACGGATTGGGAGCCACTTGAGCTTAGTGCGATATTCTGAGACATGGTCATCTTTGCGAAGTCCAAATATGAACCGTATACAGAGATTTTGGAGTCGCTCAAGCTTGTTAAGTTGCTCCTCGGTGATGTCAAGGTAACAAATGTCAGCATAGTCGATGATAGGAAGTAGTTGTACGATATTCTACTGGGTTTAGCGACTTACCGCTACAATCTCCCTGCAACCACGAATCCAGGGGCTGGCTCACGGAGCTCGGGGCAGTCGACGCAATGATAGTAGTATCAAAGTTCAGCAGAGTGTATCGCACAAGAGTCCATAGGTTACAAGCACAACACTTCCAGGTGAAAGAGATCTTGAGAGATGAGTTTGAGTAACACGAAAATATTTGTATGCGCGCGCGTCGGCGGTTCTAATTAGACTGTTCACAATTGCCGCCAATCGATGTGGCGCTTGTGTCGCACAGAGAACCATAACCCGCAAGATTATGGATGCATTCAGAATGAAAACAGTTGATCGCTAACCCAATGAATTTAATAGAAATATAGAAAAATAATATCTTCGAAATTGTGTTGCCTTGTACTTGTTATTATATACGAAAAAAAAAAAGAAACCAAAAACATAATATATTAATAATCTGTTCCAGTACGGAACATGCCGCTCACCTTAAAAGAAGTAATTTCTTTTAAAAAATCGCTAACTTATAGTATAAATTGAAGACAAAAAAAAACTTAAGGACTAGGATTAAGTTTGTAAATTTAACACATTACTCTAACGGAAGTGGGCAAATCTTTACTACAGGTCGTTTAAAAATAGTATTCCCAGCCTTTAAGGTCACTACACGAGTGACTTGATCGGAGCCAGGATGAACAGCATGCACACGCGCGAGCTTCCATTGTAATGGCGGAAGGTGCTCGTCGCATACCACAACAACAGTGCCTTCACGAATGGCGGAGCCGCGATCATGAAGCCACTTACTACTCTGTTGTAAGTGATGGAGATATTCTCTACTCCATCTTTTCCAAAAGTGCTGGACTGACTGTTGTATCCAGCGCCAACGTGTGAGACGGTTAGGGTTTTCGTCCAACAAGGATACATCAGGTAGAGCCGTTAAGGGTTCTCCTATTAAAAAATGAGACGGTGTTAAAGGGAGGGGATCGGTAGAGGCCGAACTCATGGCGCAAAGGGGACGTGAGTTTAACACGGCTTCGATTTGACAGAGAAGGGTATGCATCTCGTCGTAAGTCTGAGTACGAGTTCCAACCACACGGTTTAGGTGGTGTTTGAAACTTTTAACACTAGCTTCGAAGAGACCTCCAAAATGGCTAGCATACGGAGGTTGAAAGTGCCACGTAAGTCCCTGTTGAAGGGTTTGTTGATTAATTGTACCTTGAACGACATGACTACGTAAAAACGCGTATAGGTCTTTAAGATAATTGTTACATCCGACAAAATTCTTTCCGCAGTCAGAATATATATCCGTACATAATCCTCGACGGGCCGTGAAGCGTCGCAGAGCTGCTAAAAATGCATCAGTGGATAGCTCCGAAACGAGTTCGAGATGTACGGCCTTTACGCTCATACATACGAATACCGAAACATAACACTTCACTATTTTCGCGTTACGTACTTTATTTGCACGAACAAAAAATGGACCGGCGTAATCTACGGCCGTTTTAAGGAAAGGACGCGCCGGACGTATTCTCGAAGCTGGTAGTGGTCCCATAATCGGTTGATCACGTGTTGGACGAGCACGAAAGCAACGGACACAGCGATGTATGCGTTGACGCACGATGTCGCGGCAAGACAATATCCAATAGCGCTGCAACAGCAAGTATTGCACGGACTGAGGTCCTGCATGCAGATAGCTCATGTGAGCGTCGTCGATAATTAAATTCGTCAAAGCATGTTTTTTCGGTAAAATTATTTGATGTTTAGATTCAAATGGTAACAATGATTTATGAATTCGACCTCCTACACGTAAGAGTTTGTCACTATCCAAAAAGGGTGTAAGACGTCGCAATTGATTAGAAGGTAATCTTCCTTGAGATACCTTTAAAATATCGTCTTGAAAGACCGATTGTTGAGTAAGGTAAATTAGTCGATTTAATGAAAAATTATATTCAGGTACGGTAATGTAACCCGGGAACGAATTTTTAACCCTTTTGCATTTATTATAAAAACGAAATATTAGTGCGGTAATCCGAACGAGTTTGCCTAGCGACGAAAATCGCATTATAATTTCGGTATTTTGTACGGGCGGTGCCGTAGACATAGCAGAAGATAGCGTTAAGTTACGTTTTTCTTCACAGGTGCTCATAGTTTGAGTCTCAACCGGCCAGTTGTCAGCACTTCGTCGGAGCCATGCAGGACCGTGGTACCACAAGTCGTGTTGTACCATCGCGGTAGGTAGCAAGCCACGTGATGCAGCGTCAGCAGGATTATCGGCTGACGGAACATGGTGCCAGCAGCTGGCGGGAACGCGGGACAGAATATCGCTAGTGCGATTGGAAACAAACGTCTTCCATTCATGGGGCGATGAACGGAGCCAGGCCAGCACGATGGTGGCGTCGGACCATGCGTAAATCCGTTCAGGGCAGATGCGATCTCTGTATAAATTTGCTATCTTATCTAATAGCTTTGAAAGCAATAGAGCTGCCATCAGCTCGAGACGTGGGATGGTAAGGGGTGCGCGGAGCGGAGCTACCCTAGTTTTCGCCATAATCAGGTATGTATAAATATTGCCGTCCTTGCTTGTAAGTCGAATATAGACACAGCCGGCATATGCGATCTGGGACGCGTCAGCAAATCCATGAATTTCTACCGAATCGATATTATTACTGAAAATGTATCGCGGAAACGATACCTGTGATAGCAGCGGTAGCTCGTTTATGAAACGTGTCCACGAATTAATGATATCGATGGGCGGATTATCGTCCCAATCTACATTTGCCATCCACAATAACTGAATCAAATGTTTGGCATACAAGGTTACCGGAGATAGCAACCCGAGAGGGTCATATATTTTTGCGATCTCAGAAAGAATAGATCTCTTGGTGCATTTATGAGTGGTAACTTGAACTTTAAAATTAAATGTATCAGATCCTGGATTCCATTGTAGTCCGAGGACCTTAACTCTTTTGTCGTTCTCCATTTCAGAAAATGGAACGTTTTCGGGCCGCTCACCATGACAAGCTGGTGGCTGTAGTGTAGCGAGTATCGCTGATGAGTTGCTGTGCCACTTACGTAGTTCGAATCCAGCCGTCTTACAAATGTCGATAAGCTCTTGCTGCAGAGCGAGAGTTTTGGACTCCGTATCCTCACCAGAAACAACATCATCGACAAATACGTCACTCAATAATACGGGAGATGCGAGCCTAAAATACTCGGCCTCATCGTGAGCAAGCTGCTGAATTGTACGCAAAGCGAGATATGGTGAGGAATTTACACCGAATGTGACCGTGCGGAGACGGTAGTCCCGTATAGGTTCTTCTGGCGATTTACGCCATAAAATGCGCTGGAAGTCCCTATCAGTTTCACGAATCAGTATATTTCGATACATTTGTTTAATATCCGCAGTGAACGCTACGGCATGAACACGAAACTTTAAAAGTACGTCTACTATATCAAGGTGAAGCTTGGGACCCGTTAAGAGAACGTCATTAAGCGACAAACCACTCGTCGTTCTACAACCCGCATCGAACACTACGCGTGTACGAGTTGTTTTGCTCGATTCTTTAACTACACAGTGGTGCGGAATATAATAGCTGGCACCTTGCAAAGGCTCACTATCAACGAGCTCCATGTGATTCAGGTCCTCATACTCCTGGAGGCACGTGTGATAATCAGTTTTCAGCTGCACGTTGCGTTCCAATCTATACTCTAATTTTCTAAAGCGAGCCAATGCAATTTGCCGTGACTCGCCGAGGCGCGGTGCGTTGGGTTTGAACGGCAGGGCGACGACGTACCGTCCTGTCCCGTCCCGTGTATGCGTCTTTTGGAAAAAGGATTCGCATAGCTCCTCGTCTGGCGTGTAAGTACGTTTCTCGGAAAATGATTCCAGCTCCCAAAACCTTTGAAGATTGTCGTTGTCAAACGAGCTAAAACATACCTGGAGTGGAGTCGAAACGCTTGTATCGAACGTTATTTTACCTAATAATAAATAACCTAACACGCTATTCATCGCAATCGGTGACCCCGGAGGTCCAGTAATCATGTTGCCTAATAAAATGTGGGATAGTATATCCGCTCCTAGTAACATTTCTACCGGTTGGGGTGTATGAAAGTCAGGGTCAGCTAAGTTTAAATTTTTTAAATGTGACCAACCTGTAAAGGGCAGAGGTACACTGGGCATTTTCGTAACTAATTTTGGCAAAATTAACGCATCCACGGGTACAATGGGCTGCTGTTTACCTTTTGGAACAATTAAACATGAAACTATACCTTTAGGTTGCACAGGATCGGTATCGCCTATACCAAAAACCGGAATATTTATATGTTTACGCGCTAAACCTAAACGTTGTACGCAAGCCTCTGTGATAAAGGACGCCTGGCTACCCGTGTCTACAATACATCGAACGGTTGATACCTTTGATTCACCTACGCAAATATCAATGAGCGCTGTGGATAATAGGACTGTATGAGTACGAACTAAAGACGCATTGGACGCGCAATTATTATGTACCGCGCTGCTGTTGGCAGGTAAGGTAAGAGGTGACTCAGCCGTGAGAACACTCATTCTCTCTTTCGTAGGCGGGATCTGTATAGCACTATCAGCCACCGTCGTTTCGCTAATGACCGATAACGATTGCGTTGAAAGATGAATTAATGTATGATGTCGTTTATAACACGAACGGCAAACGAAATTTGATTTACAATTCTGAACGTCGTGTCCAACGTGTAAACAATTAAAACAGATGTTTTTATTTTGCACGAATGAATACCTATCTTGTGGAGAAAGATTTAGAAACTGTGAACATTTAGTTAATATATGTTGACCGTTGCAATGCAAACAAGTTTTAACCTTATTACCATTACTTTTAGATCGAGACTGCTCTATGGGTACATTAAGGTTAGTAATCAAAGAGCGTCGCGCCGTAGGCACAGTACCGCCGCTTGCGTTGTTGCTCCGGCCCGAGAATTTTACTGAATTACCCACATTCGCCGATGGTTTCTTAGCAGAATGTACGTTTGAAACAGTAGAAATAGTTATTTCGTCAGCGGAAATTTCCCGTTCGAGGAAAGAAATTAACGCGCATACATCTGGAATTTCGGATGGCTTACTCAATGAACGTTCGAATGTTCTTCTAATAGTGAGCGGAATTTTACGCAACAAAATATTTAATAGTATAAAACTCCATTGAGTTATTGGAAAATTCATAACTTCAAGCGCCTTTATATTCTCTTGATATATATTTAGTAAATTTCGTACACTATGACTCAACCTATCGGAACATGGTTCAATATCCAGAATTTTTTCAAGGTGTTTTGATGCAATAATTCTTTTATTATCATAACGCGACAATAAAATATCTAAGGCTACAAGGTAATTTTCGTCGGTGATAGGGATAGATTTAATAAGATTATGTGGCTCGTTTTTAACTGCAAGTAGTAAATATCTAAGCTTTTCCGCATTACAGTAAGCGCTGTTGTTATGTACTAACGAACGAAATAAGTCATAAAACGACGGCCAATCGGTTGGATCGCCGTTAAATTCTGGCAATGGCAATATAGGTAGGTTTTTTCTGTTTGCTTGCACTATGACCTCGGATGCTTGAAATGACCGACTCGTGCGGCGCTGCTGCTCATCCTCCTTTTTTAAATTATTTAAATAAGTAACAATGGTATAATATAAATCGTTAAAATCATTGCGAACTTTAATCTGCTCCTCTTTATTAAATGATTTTATTTTAATGAGCGTTTTCTCAATCTTTGTTTGAACTTTATTGAATTTTCTTTGGTGAACAGCTAAATCAATAGTTCGCGAACGAAAATGTTGTTCATTTGTTGTTGCGAGCTGAATAATACGATTAAGCTCATCAAGAATTAAATCTCTTTCGAAAATATCTTGTTCACACGGTAATTCGTCGTCCGACATTTTGCGTTACAAAATGGCGGATTATAATTTTACCACATAAAAGAATTGAGTACGTAATACTGCAATACTTTGCTTTGCAAGACAACACAAACTGGAAGATATTAATTCGGATTGAATGATCAAAATGTTTAATCCGGATCGAATGACCAAATCTTTATGTACGATATTCTACTGGGTTTAGCGACTTACCGCTACAATCTCCCTGCAACCACGAATCCAGGGGCTGGCTCACGGAGCTCGGGGCAGTCGACGCAATGATAGTAGTATCAAAGTTCAGCAGAGTGTATCGCACAAGAGTCCATAGGTTACAAGCACAACACTTCCAGGTGAAAGAGATCTTGAGAGATGAGTTTGAGTAACACGAAAATATTTGTATGCGCGCGCGTCGGCGGTTCTAATTAGACTGTTCACAATTGCCGCCAATCGATGTGGCGCTTGTGTCGCACAGAGAACCATAACCCGCAAGATTATGGATGCATTCAGAATGAAAACAGTTGATCGCTAACCCAATGAATTTAATAGAAATATAGAAAAATAATATCTTCGAAATTGTGTTGCCTTGTACTTGTTATTATATACGAAAAAAAAAAAGAAACCAAAAACATAATATATTAATAATCTGTTCCAGTACGGAAGATTGTGCAAGCGTAATTTTGGTGGCAATAGGTAAAAAGTAATTAAGCCTCCGGTGTGAATCATAAGCTGCAAACATTTTACGGCTCACTGCATTAATTTGGGGAGCCCAAGAAAGACTTGAATTCAAAAGGATACCTAAATATTTGACAACGTCATTATAAGGGATGGGAACTCCATAATATACAACGGGTTGTAGCTGACATTTTTTTATTTTGAAAATCATTCTTGAACTCCCAATGATTATGGCTTGGGATTTTAAAGGGTTCACCGTTAACCCATAAGACGAGAATACATGTCAGATCCTTATTGATACATTCCACTGCTTTGGGAAGATCTTCAATGGTTGTGTCAGTTCTCTTCAGTGGTCAAAGAGAAGATATTTGGGAAGTAATCGTATTAATAAAGATTGAGAATAAAAGAGGAGATAAGAAGCCACCTTGTGGAACGCCAGCTACTGTATCCAGCCACGAAGAAAGTCTATCTTGGACACGAATACGTTGCCGGCGCCCATACAAATAACGATGAAACCAGGAAATTGCAGTTGGAGATATGTTAAGAGAACGCAGAATCCCTAACAGGATGTCATGATCAACAGTATTAATGGCATTGCTGAAATCCAGCAACACCAATAATGTGACTTGATGTCTTTGAATGTCGTCCGTGATTTTCAATAACGCCGTAGTCGTACTATGACCAGATCTAAAGCCAGATTGGAATGGGTTGAGTATATTGTTTCTTAAACAAAAAGAATTTATTTGTTGTTGCACTAGTCGTTCTAAGACTTTGGAAAGGAAAGGAAGAATCGAAATTGAACGATATTCAGTAAAACTTGAAGGATTTGCTTTTTTGGGTAAAGGTGTGATTTGGGCATCCTTCCATTGGTTAGGGAAAGAAGTTAGTCTACTCGAAAGAATAAAAAAATAACTTAAACTTAAAAAAGAGAAATTGGGGCTTAAATATTTTGTGTATGTTTTAGCACTTACTTCAGAAGATATCTATCTAATGATATAAAAAAAATTATCATTTTAGTACTATGAACTTTTTTTTTGTTTTTATTTTTTATGAGTTGCTGGCAGCATTTGGTACTATTTTACGTAAGCTGCAGCTATATAATGGTAGTAGCACGAATGTGTCCACTCGAACGGGGTAGGACCACGCTCTCACAAATACCAGCGTGAAATAGCAGCTTAATGCCTCTATGTTTCGTATGGTGTATGTAGAGAGCCAGAGATCCTTTTTACTGGAAACGAGGCATTCCATCTTAGTCCTCCGAGGTGACAACGCATCTGCATCTTGATTCTCTATTGAGGATAAATAGGTCACAGCGTCCACTTACCATCAGGTGAACTATGTGCTCGCGTGGCACCCAATTCTATAAAAATAACTCTTGTCGGCAGAACTTAAATCATTCTTAATTCATCAAACGAACAAAACTCACTAATTGTAAATTGTTACGTAAAACACTAAAATCTCTGTTTTTCTTCTTCTGCTCTTAAATACGAATTATTTTTCCTTATATACTTTGCCAGTTTCGGAAACGAGTTTTTCACAAAGCTTGACTACAACTTCACCTGATGGTAAGTAGTGACGAAGCCCTAGATGGTAAAACGCAGCGTCATAGCGTAAAAAATCCTATTCTGTATCGCCTTAAAGACGCCCAGATTGGAATCGAACGGAAAGGCTGACGCCGTCAGATTATCCTACTCCTTTGCTGTTCAATTATTCATGTTCTCTTTCTATTTTGTCTATATATTCAGCTGACTTCTTTTATTACGTTTTTCAACATGGCGTGTTCATTCATTAATTTCAGCCTATCAAAATTTTACAGTTTAGTATAGAACTTCTCTATAAATTACCTCCTATGGCTTAAGGGAGATATTTGTTATAGCTGCCAAGTTTTAAAATTAGAAAAAATATGTTTTTATAAACATATTTTTTTTTACATTTTTCTAAATACTAATATTTAAAATAATAATATTTTAAGTTGTTTATAGAAAAATGTAGAGAAATGTCACTTCGTGTTTTAGATGCCTTCTATCGCTTCTAATCCCACGGGATGATAAGGTGTGTTCCGCCATCACTATCTTGAGTATACATGTATTAAAATTAGCAGGGTAATGATTTATTATATTCACGCGAACATGACACATATAAATGTATCTATTTTATCGCATATGTTATATTATTTTTATTCTATACACATATTATATATTCCAGAGGTTTCGACTACTTTACAACACCCATGGCTCAGTCCCTCGAGAACTGCTGCTGTGAAGTACTCGAAACGTCGGGAATATAAAATAAGATAAAATTCTTAAAAATTAGTTTCATTTCAATTTGCAAGTTTTTTTTATTTTTAAAATTGATTGCTTATAAAATTCAAAAGGCGCACAACTCGTGCGCTTGCCAAAAGGACGACAGGTGACTCAGACTGTGCGACGTTGCCGCTCCGCTTTATAATATCGACTACTATATAAAATTGTTTACCAATGAACTCACTATATGCCAAACTGTTACAAGTTATGTTGCCAGTTCCCGTTTTATGTTTTAGTGGATTAAATAAAGGACATAGGATAAAATAGATGATATATTGTTTTCAATAAAATGCTATTATGGTATGGATTAAAGTTTAAGTTACAGCTTATACCTAAACGTCTCACTGCTGGAAATGTCGGCCACCCTGCCCCAATGCGTTGGCGAACTGCATACATGTCTTCGAAATAATTTTCTTGTTTCTCAGACTTGCCTGTTTCCTCACGATGTTTTCCTTCATGGTAAATCAGCACTTAAAATTGCAATTAACAATTATATTTTTGCCAGCGGGGATCGAACTCAGGTTGCTCGCGTACTGTGAAATTTACAGCGAACGTTTAGTTCCCGAGCTACCACGGCTTAAGATATGGTATAAGGAACGGCATTTAATTTAATTTGTCTCTAGCAACGTGCGTTACCTCAACGTGATTTATAAATTCTTTGACCTCAACTAGCAGACGGAATGCCGAATA